TCGCCAGGCGGAAAATCGAGATGGGCTCCGTCATGCCAGAACAGTTCCTTCCACTCCCAACCTTACCCCTGGGAAAAATCAGAAAGCCAAGGCAGTGTCTGCCGACCCTTTCGCTAGTGCGTCTAGCAAGAACCCTCAGACTTCAAAGTACCTGCCTTGAGGGTGCAGAGTCTTTCACGCCCTTTACATGCCTTTGTCTAGGGCATTCCAAATATTGGCTAGAAAAGGGTATCTTAAACCTCTCGAGCCTCGGCCCCTTCCGAAGAATCTCCCTCTCTCGCATGATGCTACCTTGTACTGTGCGTACCACCAACAGTCCGGTCACAGCACCGATGGTTGTTTCCGCCTTCGTCATGAAGTGCAAGATTTGATCGACAATGAGGTCATCCTCCCACCTACCTCTGCAAAGTCTGTTACCACTGAGCTGTTGGATTTCGAGGATATTGCAAGTATGTGATCAGGGGTTGGACCACCTGCAGGCGGCGCTCGGTGCATTTTGGATGTGGCGTCTGGCACGCACTTTTGAGCATCTCCGAATGCCATTTTTTTGTGGTTTCTGACTTAGATGTTAAGCCAGTTCAGTGGTCTTGTTTTGAGTCTGTCTTGTTGTCTTGAGTCAGTCCTTTTTGCTTAAAGGGTCTGTCTTGTTGTGTCGAGTCAGTCCCACTGTATAGAATATCAGGTGATTCCAGGGTTTTTGCCTCGAACACCGTTTTGTTTTGTAATTATCTTTCTGCTTACTTTTGGGTCTGTCTCTACTGTGGAGCCAGTTGCAACCAGGGAACCTGAATGAAACAGCTGCGGCTATCTTTTCTCCATACTTACTACTATCTTGAGCTAGTTGTGCCAGAGGATTTGAATGGAACGACAGTACATTCCACCTGCTCTCTTATGCCTTGAAAATCATTGCTTTGACCTAAGTTTTTCAAAAAATTTCGAACACTACGGTGAAAACAAAGGGGAAGGAATTCCTCGGGATTTGCAAAACTTTGATCAAATTGAGAGAAAGAGAGGCGTGTTAAGCCCTTAATGATTGAAATCATGCTTGTCAGTGTGAGTACTGAAAAGGACCCTGGCTTGATCCAGATTGGTTTCAGACTATCTTCAGCGCGAGCGATTTATCGCTTTCTTAAAAACTTTCAAAAACAAAATGTTTTGCGCAGTCCTGCGAAGACCTATGTGGAATCGCTCTTGAGATTGTATAGCTTAGGATCGCTCTCAGCCTCAAGACTTGAGCCCTTGCTTTAAAACCTTGAACCACAATTCAGAGTGTTAAACGATCGACTATCAAGGGAGGCCTGTGTGGCAAGATTGGAAGCAGCCCTCGAACAAGAGGCACCAAAGTCAGATCAAGAAGATCAGACCTCATCAGAAGAAGATCGCGGAGCTGAGTCAGAAGCGCCCCTCGAACTAGGGGCAAAAAATGTCCGATGTACTCAAAGAGCCGAAGAGGGGTCCTTCAGCAAATCGATACAACATGTGGTTTCTGACTTAGATGTTAAGCCAGTTCAGTGGTCTTGTTTTGAGTCTGCCTCGTTGTCTTGAGTCAGTCCTTTTTGCTTAAAGGGTCTGTCTTGTTGTGTCGAGTCAGTCCCACTGTATAGAATATCAGGTGATTCCAAGGCTTTTGCCTCGAACACTGTTTTGTTTTGTAATTATCTTTTTGCTTACTTTTGGGTCTGTCTCTGCTGTGGAGCCAGTTGCAACCAGGGAACCTGAATGAAACAGCTGTGGCTATCTTTTCTCCATACTTACTACTATCTTGAGCTAGTTGTGCCAAAGGATTTGAATGGAACGACAGTACATTCCACCTGCTCTCTTATGCCTTGAAAATCATTACTTTGACCTAAGTTTTTCAAAAATTTTCGAACACTACGGTGAAAACAAAGGGGAAGGAATTCCTCGGGATTTGTAAAACTTTGATCAAATTGAGAGAAAGAGAGGCATGCTAAGCCCATAATGAATGAAATCATGCTTGTTAGCGTGAGTACTGAGAAGGACCCTGGCTTGATCCAGACTGGTTCCACACTATCTTCAGCGCGAGCGATTTGTCGCTTTCTTAAAAACTTTCAAAAACAAAATGTTTTGCGCAGTCCTGCGAAGACCTGTGTGGAATCGCTCTTGAGATTGTGCAGCTTAGGATCGCTCTCAGCCTCGAGACTTAAGCCCTTGCTTTCAAACCTTGACCTTGGATTCAGAGTGTTCAATGGTCAACCGCGATATGAGGCCTGTGCGGCCAGATTTGAAACCGCCCTCGAACAAGAGGCACCAAAGTCAGATCAAGAAGATCAGACCTCATCAGAAGAAGCTCGCGGAGCTGAATCAGAAGCGCCCCTCGAACTAGGGGCAAAAATGTCCGATGTACTCAAAAAGCCGAAGAGGGGTCCTTCAGCAAATCGATACAACAGCCACTCTCCTGGACACGGATGACTTCGAAACCCTAAAACCATTTGGCATGGACTTGTTACACTTTTACCCTTTGAGAGGCTCGCTGGGTCGAAAACCCGGAAGGGCAACCCAGGCAAAAATTAGAGCAAGAGAAAAATACAAAAAGAAAAAGAAACAATAAAAAAGAAGAAACAAAAAAAAAAAGAGGAAGAGATGAAAAAGAAAAGAAAAGAAATGAAAAGATACAAAAAAAAAAAAAAAAAATTAAAAAGAAAAGAAGAAATATAAAGCTCGCAAGGTCGAAAACCCGCAACGGGCGCCTTGGCGAAAGTTAGAGCCTAAAAAGTGAAGGTTAATACCCGAGTGTACCTTAACCGGAACTACGTAAGGCTTGATTCCCATGTTTGGGATACGTAGGCAGCTTCATCCTGAAGTCCAGCCCCCTAACGCTTTCATAGCCACTAAGTCCATGCAATGGTTTTTAATCATCCTTGATTCTCATGTTTGGAATACGTAGGCAGCTTCATCCTGAAGTCCAGCCCCACGCACTTTCAAAATGACTGTGTCCATATATTTGTTTTGACCGTCTTCGTCTTCTCCGTGTCCGAGAGTTTGGTCGTGATCGTCACTAATGAGGATTGTTTACAAAATGTTGCAGCGTTATCCAGACAAGGGGCAACTTTCCGTTGCCACGAGTCGCCATTCAAACCAGGGGCAACTTTCCGTTGCCGTGCAAATGCCATCCAGACAAGGGGCAATTTTCCATTGCCTCTGATCCGAGGTTGCGCATCTCGAAAGTAAGTTCCGCGCTCGTTGAGCAGCGGCCGTTTGCAAACATGGTTTTTGAAAATTTTTACTGAGGTTGACTAATTTTCTCGACAATTATTCCATTTTCCAAAACTTAGACCATTTTGGACCCAAAAGGGAAAACTTTCAGTGCTCACAGCCCAACTCGCGTGATTTTAAACCAGAAAATTAAACAAGTATGTTAATCTGACTTTCATTTTGGTCAAAACTATTTTAGTAGAAAACCAAAAACGAAAAATGGTCAAAATAATGAATCAGGGGTACAGTTGAGTCAGATGTTCTGTCTTTCCCCCATCGCCAACATACTCGCCAGAAGAAGGCACAACTGAAGCTGTCATTAAAGGGCTAAAAGCTCTCTCAACCTCCGAGCAACAAGGTATCACATCAAGTGCGAAGCATAAATCTGAAGAGGTCAAGGTACTCCGTTCCCTTTACCTGGGGCATCGACCAAACGCCACCAGAAGAAGCAGCCGTGAGCTAACCATGTCGGGCGTGAACCCACAACTTCCTATTCATCCATTAAAAAACCGAGGAGGGATAAAAATGAGAGAATAAAGAATAGAGAGGTGTAAGTTGAGAGAAAGAGTGAGAAAAAGGGGTTTTGAGAGAAGGACCAAGCCTGTGGGCCAAGTGATGTAAGAATCGCAAATTAGAAAGGGTGGGAAATAATACCCGAAGAAACTGGCTCCTCGTGATTTGAGAGGTCTCTCATCTTTATAACACGTCTGTGTGTCGTGTCTTTTGTTTTGTCTACCTTAACTCTTGTTTTGAGTCTGTTTCGAGCGTGTCTCATTGTGTTTAGGTAGTCTACCTTTCTGCTTTCGCTGTCGAGTCTTTTTCACGGTGTTCTGTTGTAGGCTCAATACCCCGGTTTGAAAAACCCTTTTTCAATTTCAAAAATTAACCGTTTTGTGTGCTCAGAGCGTTTTGCCATTCTCCACGTTTGTGCAAAACGTAACCTAGTTCTTTCATAAAACCACAGGGGTTCAACCCAGGACACTTGGAAACAGTGAACATATGGGCTCCGGATTGCATCTAAGTGTGTTTCAGCTCCAGCAACTTCTACCTTTGTCTTCCGTCTTTTCAGATTGGACTGTTTGTTCAGGATTCGCTGTGTGCAGAATGGACTAAGCATTGTGTTATGGGCTGTGTGTTCAGAATGAGCAATGGTTTGTTTGAGTTGTTTTGCCGATTGGCCGGTTCATTATCTGGTTATTACAATACAAGTGTTTGATTTTCAAACAAAAGATCAATCTCATTTACATTGAGGTGTAATATGATGCAATGCGATGCAATGTATGAAATGTTCAAATATAACACTTTTTTAGATAAAAAGTTTTGTTTAATTTCATCATTTTTTTCAAGTACAAAGTTTTGGAGAAAACAATTACCTGCCTGCGGCAGTACAAGGTACTCAAGCTACCAACAAAAGTAAAGCGAAATAAAAAGAAGAAAAGCAGCAAAAATCTGGATCGAGTGGTCTCAGGCCTACAGATCTGTCCTCGTCCTCTTTCTGGACGAAGGTCCAAGAGCATCGTCATCGGCACCGTCATCTGAGTCTGTGCCATCTTCGGTCTCCTCCTCGGACGACTCTAACTCCGCCTCTGCCTCCACCTCGGACTCGTCATCATCGGGAACTGGTGCCCGTGAGCTACTCCCAACATGGGTGCGCCCCGCCTTGGTGCAGGGGTATACTCTGCCATCTCCTCCGGCAAGAACAGAAGGTCCAGCTGGAGCACCTCCCACGGTAGGGATCTGGAAGGGAGGCTGAAAAACGCAAAAGGCGAACGCATCAGTATACTGTGAGCAGTGTATCAGTATGCTACAAAATGCAGTGTATGAATACAGTGTGTGAATACTGTGAGCAGTATATCAGTCCAGAATGCAGTGTATAAATACAGTGTGTGAATGCTGTGAGCAGTGTGACAGTGCAGAATGCAAGGTATGAGTACAGTGTAAATGCCGTAGATAGTGCTGTGAACAGTCTGTGGGCTACAGTATGTCAGATGTCGTGAGGGCGGTGTATCCAGTGTCGTGTTGTGCATCAGATATGTGAAACAGTTTATGTATGGTTTGAGACCGCGGTCAGAGAAACATACCGGAATGCTGTAAATCGCCAGAAGGTCGAGGCTCTGCTGGAGCATCCCCATCACGGAGGCAGTCAGCTCTAGGGACTGGCGAGTGTACTCAGAAGAGGCCTGCAAAAGCGTTAGAAGCATCAGTGTTCCGCGGAATATCAAATGAATTGAAATAAACTAACTGTGCATAATGCAAAACGCAGAAGTACATACCGGAGGTAAGCCGTAGAACCCGACTAACTCATGATCAGCCAGAGGGGGAGCAATGGGAATCTGGTAAGTCCCCCCACCCCGCCCTCGGCATGTCATCGTCACGGGCAGTGCTGGCCAACTAGCCCCATGTCCCCTCCGAGCTCCACTCCTACCACGGCCCCGAGCCACCCTCGGCGCTCCTGCTCCCACCCCTACTCCTGCTCCAGCTACCAGCGCTGCAGGTCCCCCTCTCTCAGCTCGACGGCCACCGCTCAGAGGCCGCATAATGTACGTCCGAACGTACTCTAAGTAGTCACCCTCGCCCCTAAAGCCCTCCGCGTCCCAGCTGATCGTGTAATCGGCCATCTCCTTGGCAGTGCACCTCTCGGTGTTCCTCATGTGGGTAGGAGGCGGACCTGGAACTATCTGCTCCAGCAAACCCAAGGTCTGGCGTAGGAAACGCTCACCCAAGTACCAAGCCAGACAGACCAGGCCCTCCAGCAAAATCTTGAAATGTGCAGTCTCCTCTGCACCAGCAAATCGATCTCGAATCATCGCAGGCAATGGAGCCCAAGGCTGCCAAGTGATCTGTAAATGACATGCAGTTTGTTATCTACTGATATTGAAAATACAGTGTAAAGCCAAGCCAAATAAAACTCTAAAAGTTGAACATACCTTTGCAGGGGTGATGGTGTCGAAGTAGCGGCGGAAGAAGATAAACGTCTCCCGGGGCCTCCGCACGCACCTCACGTCAAAGCGGCACTAGAACGGAACAACGAGAGGGGTCTCCTCATCAGGCACTGACGCGAGCCTCGGAAAGTAGGCGTAGACCCACAACTGCAGAGCGAATACCAGTAGGATTATCAGATAAAGCAGAATACAGAATAAAGCAGAAATTGCAGAGCCGTGTATTGTGCAGTGTATTGTGCAGAGTGTACAGTGTGTGTAGTGTACAGTCAGTGTAAAACAGAGTGTATGTGTGCTGTGTGTGCAGTATACAGTCAGCGTGAAGCAGACCGCAGTGTGTGCAGTGTACAGAGTACAGAATATGAAAGGCAGAAATGTAAAACAGAGAAAGAGGTGTACCTCCCAAGCTCGCCAGTAACCCCCGAGCAACTGCCCACTGCAACGGGAGGCTGAGCTCATGTACCTGTAGAGTGTGGCTAAGGCTGCCCCACCCCAGTCATAGCGCAGGATCCTGGTCACGTCCACCAGAGCGCTCAGCAAGCAGAGGGGCACGGTGTTCCCCCAATCGGCAAAAATGGTCGTCCCCAATAGAAATATGAGGAAGCCGCGTGCGTACTGCTCCTCCCCTACCCGAGTGGTCGGCGCCTGATCCCAGAAGTGGCTCTCGAACCACGAATATCGCACATATCCTGCCCGAGCGAGTGGCGGCTGAGTGCCAAGCAAGTGTATCTGGGCCGCGTACCACTCATCCATCTCTATGTCGAAGGGGATTGGATCACCCCCTACCCCGATGCCGGTGAGCATCGAGAAGTCATAGGGAGTCATCGTCATGTCTCCCGCGACGGAGAGGTGGAATGAATCGGTGGTGTCCCACCACCTCTCCGCTAGAGCAGCAAGGAGAGGTCTGCTCGCAGTAAGCCGTCGCGTGCGTACTGCTCCTCCCCTGCCCGAGAGGTCAGCGTCTGATATCGGAATTGGCTCTCGAACCACGAATATTGCACATATCCTGCCCGAGCGAGTGGCGGCTGAGTGCCAAGCAAGTGTATCTGGGCAGCGTACCACTCATCCATCTCTATGTCGAAGGGGATTGGATCACCCCCTACCCCGATGCCGGTGAGCATCGAGAAGTCATAAGGAGTCATCGTCATGTCTCCCGCGATGGAGAGGTGGAATGAATCGGTGGTGTCCCACCACCTCTCCGCTAGAGCAGCAAGGAGAGGTCTGCTCGCAGTAAGCTGAGAAAGTCCTCTGCAGAAGGCGCCAAAGCCCGCCTGATCGACAATGTGACGGACTGCGTCCGGTAACTCCATATACCAATCCCTAGCGGCAACATTCCCATACCCGCGGACAGTATGGGAATCTCCCTGTTCAAAAACAACAGTTGCGAAGCAATGTTCAATGTACAGTTTTGAAGAACATTCAAGATCGATGACAATACAGTGTGTGTGCACGTTTTTAGATTCAAACAGATATCGGGTGTCGGTGTACTCGAAGTGAATTACGGCATATGACGTATCAGTGTTTCCAAGTGGTTCAGTACAGATGCAGCGTGAGTACACGTTTTTAGATTCAAACAGACATCAAGTGCAAGTGTGTTCACAGTCAACTACAATATACAGTGTATCGATGTATCCGGGTTAAGCAGTTAAAAGAACAAAATCAACTATGGCGGTTAAGTGTTCTGCATTGCGGAAAATGAAACGGGGAAGAATATACCTCGGAAGCGCCGTATGATAGGTGTGACTCTGGCTCGCGCAGGAGGAGCTCTGGTGGCACACCTCTCGCAAAACTCCGGAACTGACGAAGTCCGTCCGGAGGAAGCACGTGAATCATCGGCCGGTAGGTCGCCGAATCGAACGAGCGAACACTCAAGGGTAGGAGCTCGACCTTTGGGTCCACCTCGTGATCCGGGGGAGTCCCGCCCCGTGGAATATCATCCGCCATGTCAAAAGTGGTGTGAAGATGGCCGGAAGAGAGAAAATCGGAGGAGAATGCGAAAGGTCAACTAAAAAGTCAACCCCGAGAGGGCGAAAAATGACCGAAAAAGGCAGGAAATGAAAAGGCACGAAAATCAAGAGAAACTCGAGGGAAACAAACCCTAAAAGGTGGAAATAGCAAAAGAAACACCGAAACGAAGAAATGTTCAGTTCAAAATGTTCGAAACGCAAAGAACTTCGCGAATCAAACGATGAAACGGGCGAGAAACGCAAGAAAACGGGAGAACGAAGGAAGAAAAATACTCTAGAGAGAGGGGAAGAAATTTCGACCAAGGAAAAGTGGGAAACATAGGGCTAGAGGCCTTATATTTAAAGACCCGAGGCCAAAGACCAAACTGCCCCGATTCAGGCATGTTTGGCCGGTCGGCCACACTGTTGGCCGGTCAGCCAAATATTTGGCCGGTAGACTTTTATGATGGCCGGTAGATAGCCGGTGACCTCCCCTGATGGCCGGTGAGCCTCCAGCAACCTTGTTTGGGTCAGATGTATAGTTTGGGGTATTTATTTCTCAAGACAGTGCAAGACAGTGTATTTCCGAAGCTCAACCGACCTCCGTTTTGACCTCGGACCGTGTCTGCTATGCGTGGCACTCGAATATGTGCAAGGTGTATCCTTTTTGTATCCTTTTGTCTCTTTTAGGATTCGAAAGTTGTCCCGCATTCATTGCTTTACAACGCTTTGGTATGAACGCGTGTTGAGTTATACATCATTATGCTCGCACTGTTATGCATTTTCAGATGGTCTGGCGAGACCTTAAATACGCTCGGTCTAGGAGACCTTAAATCCTCTGAAGGTGCAAGTCCTTCGGTGTTTGTCGTGCCCGAACGACTTTTGGCAAGTTCACATGCATCATCATGCATTTCAAGCGATGTGCATCGTCGCGCATTCGAGTTCATAAGCATTTCGAGCGACATGCGTGGTCGCACATTCAAGATCATATGCATTGCCATGCATACCAAAACACGTGCATTGCCACGCATTTGCATTAGCATGCGTCAACATGCATCATTTGCATTACAAAAACAAACCAAAAAACACACAATCATGCAGTATTATGCATTTTCAAAAGAAAAACAAAAAAAAGAGAGCAACATGCATTGCCATGCATTTTCCCTTTCATGCACTTTTCATGCATTTCAAAAACAAAACCAAAACAAATAGCGCATATGTCATGCATTACATCGTAAGTAGTGCATATGTCATGCATTCATTGTAGATAGTGCATATGACATGCATCCCTTGTATACATTGCATATGTCATGCATTTCATTACCAATAGTGCATATGTCATGCATCAATGTAAATATCGCATTTCCACCCATCCATTGCATATTGTAGATATTGCATTGTAGCTTGCATGCATTCACTGAATCACTTCCATCTATGGCTCGTGCCTTTCCATGATTGAGCTTGGTCTGGTATGTGCCCATACTTTTCACGTCTATACACTCATAGTTCTGTATGACCGTTCTATGTTAGACGTGGCTTGTTTATGTCCATGCCTTTCCTAGGCAAGATACGGTTTGGTCGTAGGCCTTAATCCACTATATCCATTCCATTGCATAAAAAAAAGAGAGCAACATGCATTGCCATGCATTTTCCCTTTCATGCACTTTTCATGCATTTCAAAAACAAAACCAAAACAAATAGCGCATATGTCATGCATTATATCGTAAGTAGTGCATATGTCATGCATTCATTGTAGATAGTGCATATGACATGCATCCCTTGTATACATTGCATATGTCATGCATTTCATTACCAATAGTGCATATGTCATTCATCACTGTAAATATCGCATTTCCACCCATCCATTGCATATTGTAGATATTGCATTGTAGCTTGCATGCATCATGCATTCATTGCATCACTTCCATTTATGGCTTGCGCCTTTCCATGTTGAGCTTGGTCTGGTATGTGCCCATACTTTTCACGTTAAAGCACAGTTCTGCATGTGTACGCGCCTATTCCACGCTAGTATGTTGGTTTAAGGGTTGCGGCACATTTTCTGCGTTAGACGCGGTTTGTTTGTGTACATGCCTTTCCTAGGCAAGATTTGGTTTGGCCCGTGTGCCTTATCCATTGTATATATTCCATTCCAGTGCATATTGCATTATAGCTTGCATGCATTCATTGCATCACTTCCATTTATGGCTTGCGCCTTTCCATGTTGAGCTTGGTCTGGTATGTGCCCATACTTTTCACGTTAAAGCACAGTTCTGCATATGTACGCGCCTATTCCACGCTGGTATGTTGGTTTGAGGGTTGCGGCACCTTTTTTGTGTTAGGCGCGGTTTGTATGTGTCCATGCCTTTTTTAGGCAAGATTTGGTTTGACCCGCGTGCCTTATCCATTGAATATATTCCATTCTAGTGCATATTGCATTATAGCTTGCATGCATCCACTGCATCACCTCCATTTATCGCTTGCGCCTTTCCTTGTTGAGCTTGGTCTGGTATGTACCCATACTTTTCACGTTAAAGCATAGTTCTGCATGTGCACGCGCCTATTCCACGCTGGTATGCTGGTTTGAGGGTTGCGGTACCTTTTCTGTGTTAGACGCGGTTTGTTTGTGTCCATGCCTTTCCTAGGCAAGATTTGGTTTGGCCTGCGCTCCATATCCGTTGTACATATTACATTGTAGTATAATTTTTACATCCAGCATTCGGGTCATTGGTCTTTCGTTAGCGAGTCACTTCCCCACTTATGTCATGCCACCCAATTACTTGTTCTTGTGTCCGTCTACATCACTCATAGTTCCACATGTGTACGCGCTTTGAGGGTTGCGGCACCTTTTTTATGGTAGACGGACTTTGCATCTCCATCAATCTATTTGACATTTGTGTGTTTTTGAACTGCTCATGATTGGATCATGATCCAATTGCATTGCATTTTCTTTTGCATTATTGTACATAGTTTTGTATATATTGCATATCATTTTGCATTCATCTTGTATTGTCATGCATGTTGCTAACAATATTGTACCTGTTGAGTTTTCTTTCTCTTTCAGGCACGATATTGTATGTACGGTTCATTTGAAGCTGGTGCAACCAGACGAACCGCACAGGTATTGTATTCTCCAAGTGAGACGTATCGGGAATTACATAATTCTCTTACATCCTTTCTGCATTGTAGTGTAGTTGGATTGTTCTATGCTAGCTTAAAACTATCGCATGTTATGCTTCGTTACAGCTTTCTTTGCATGACCATAAGTTATGCTTGGCTTCGTGCATTGTCGATTGCATTTTGCCCCTGCCTTCGGGCGCATATCTTGTCTGTCTTGCATGTCTGTCTAAGTCTTCGGCCTTGTCAAAAATGGGTCGTCTCTGGGCTTTGACAGTCACTCCCGTCATTGTTATGACTTTCGAGTTCTATCAAAGAGGGGCAACTGTAGACATCCCATTTTTCACCGTCCTCAAGACTTGGACGTCATCGTTTGAACACTCGATGATCGGAGGTCTCGGCTACGCGCCTTGCCTCAGGATCTCTCGACTCGACAGTTTTGTGTCTGGTTTTGCACCAAACACTTGTGTTTTGCCTTAGAGGGGCAGGGAATGGCTTGCGGGCCATCCCCACACATCACCGGCTATGGCTTAAGGCCACCGGCTATGTTTTGTTCCCACTGGCCAAATGTTTGGCCGGCCGGCCGGCACTATAGATGGTCGACCGGCCATCTTTTTTGGCCAAATTGCATTTTTGGACGGCCGACCACTGTGCATCTGCTTTTGCAGATATTTTATGCTAGCTGGCATACACTTTGTTCCCCTCCATACACGTGTATGAAGGGATCTACCTCTTGGCTAGCTTGTCTTGTAAGCTTGCAAGATTGAACCTTCTATAAGAGGAGGCCTATTCTCCCTCTTTTAGGTTGGACAAAAAAATAC